TTACAATTGGGGTGGCACGCCTTTTTATTGTATGGGAAAAATAAAGTTCACAAATATTTCCAAAATCACTATATAAGAAATGCATTGTTAACAACATGGGAAAAAATAAAAAGCAAAATATATTTGAAAATTCCAGGGTGGTTGTCAACAATGGAAGCATTTGTACACCCAAATTTAGTGGACTTTGAAAAAATCTGGACATACAGAGATATTCTAAACTCTGAAGGACATTTAAAATCTAAACAAGAAATGGAAAATCAGGGCATCAACTTATCATGGTGGACACATTTACAAATACAAACTAGATATGATAAAAGATGTGAAAATGTATGGGTTTTATAAGGAACAAACTGTGTTTGATAAGACTCTGTTAACTTCGGTTGAAAAATTAATTAAGAAAATGTATAATTTTTTATTAACTTTGAAAATGTCAACAAGGCAAACAAGTTAAAGAAACGATAAGATGGGCGAAAAATTTTGGATACAATATAGAACTAGAAAGATGGCAAAACTTATGGGAAAGAAATTATAAACTGACAATGTCAACTTCTTATAAAGAAAATTTATATAAAATGTTTTATAGATGGCACTTGCCACCAGCAAGATTAGCGAAAATGTTTAAAAATATATCAGATAGATGTTGGAAATGTAAACATAAGTCAGGCACATATTTGGTGGACATGTGATAAAGCAAAGAACTATTGGAAAAAAGATACATACTTGATTAGAAAAGATGTTAGGAGAACATGTTGATTTTAAACCTGTACTTTTTTTTATTAGGTATGATGCCAGAAAAGATCAATAAACAAAGCTTATATTTGACTTTGCACGTCACAACAGCGGCAAGAATTACATTTGTGCAATACTGGAAGAATGAAGGAATACCATCAGATGAAGAAATAATTAAAAAAATACTAGAATGCGCAGAGATGGACAGATTGACTATGAGACTGAAAGAAAAGGAAGAAACAGATTATTATCAAACCTGGAACTTATTTTACTATTGGCTTGAGGAAAGAATAAAGGATTAGGAATTAAATATGTATTAGCATATATAAACTCAGACAGCACGTTGGTTGAAAATTTATTATTGTTTCTATGGAAAAAATGAATAAAAAAACTTAAAAAAAAACAAGATTAAAATAGCATGGAAAATAATTTGCAAGACGAACTGAAGCATTTATGGACATAGAAGGCTAGATACCTCCATCTACAATTCCATGCAGAGAAATATAGAAAAAAAAATGTGAATTAAGTATTGTAATCTCATCGCGGTCCTGGGTGCTGAGCTTCATTTTTATGTATGCTTCTTTTCCTTTGACGATGTACGCACTTTTATTTTTGTGGGTTTTTTTTTAATGGTTATTTTAAAAGCGATAAAACAGTTTCACTTTAAAAAGTGAAACTATGCAATAGGTGGGCGTGGCATTCTTAGCTGTGCTCCTAGATTTAGAAAAGGCAGCCTAGCATGGACAAACTTCCTGTCCAGTCTTTTTTTTTTAAATATATTTTAAAACATTTAAAGAATTAAATAAATGACTAAACAACCATTAAAAATAAAAGACATTGTGATTGGAAAGTAAAACGCTGGACAAATCAACAGGGAATTTTCAATCATCATAAATGATGCCATTAATTATTGAGGGAGTCCTTGGTGCTTTCTCTGAGCTGGCTTGTTTTCTTGCAGACGTTTCACGACCCAGACCAGGACTAGCACTGATGAGGTTACCTAGTTTGGGTCAGGAAACGTCTGCAAGAAAACAAAGCCAGCTCAAGAGAGCAGCAAGGACCCTCTCATGTCAACCCTGAGCTACGAATATTCTCCTTTATTAGTAGTACAATACATGATTTCATGAATTCAGGGATCCACCCAAGCAAGTCGCGCCTTCAGGGATGTCGGGGGGGGGGGGGGGGTTGGAGGGCAAAAAAGTCACGAACGGGGTCCTATCGCAGGTGGCGCCCAAGATCCTGACCTTGCAACCCACCTAATTCCCCCCCCTTCCTGACCCAGCTGTCCAAAATAAGCTGTTGCGCCCCTCCATCTACGGCACGGGACTCACCGAGGCTGCCTTCCAGGAGGCAGGAAGCGGCGGCCCCGAGAAGCCACAGGAGCCCCCAGCGCGGCTTCATCGCTTCGGCTGTCCCGGTGAGCGGCCGCTTGCAATGAAATTCTCCGGGCTTGCGCTTTGGAACCCGGATTCCCAGGTCAGCTGGAACGCTGGAAAATCGCTCTAATTAAGGAGAGTTACGCTGGTAGATAGCGTCGAACGTGACGCAATAATGGAGGGGCGTGGCTAGGGAGGGGCGTGGCCAAGGCTGCGCGGGATGGGGTTTGCTGGAATCCGGAAGGGGAAAAATACCTTGACCAAAACAGAATGGGGAAAAAATAATAACACGGTCCGCTTTCACACGAGACGGGCAGGCAGGCAGGTGAAGAAGGCAAGGCCGACGGTGGCCTTGGCGCAACGTAATAGAGTAGAGTAGAGTGGAGTAGAGTAGGATAGGATAGGATAGGATAGGATAGGATAGGATAGGATAGGATAGGATAGAAGAATAGAATAGAATAGAATAGAATAGAATAGAATAGAATAGCATAGCATAGCATAGCATAGAATAGAATAGAATAGAATAGAATAGGGAATGAATAGAATAGAATAGAATAGAGTAGAATAGGGAATGAATAGAATAGAATAGAATAGAATAGAATAGAATAGAATAGAATAGAATAGAATAATAGAATAGAATAGGGAATGAATAGAATAGAATACAATAGAATAATAGAATAGAATAGAATAGAATAGAATAGGGAATGAATAGAATAGAATAGAATAGAATAATAGAATAGAATAGAATAGAATAGGGAATGAATAGAATAGAATAGAATAGAATAGGGAATGAATAGAATAGAATAGAATAGAATAGGGAATGAATAGAATAGAATAGAATAGAATAGGGAATGAATAGAATAGAATAGAATAGAACAGAACAGAACAGAATAGAATAGGGAATGAATAGAATAGAATAGAATAGAATAGAATAGAATAGAATAGAACTAAGAAATTTCCTGACAGTTAAAACAATCCGTGGAACAACCTGCCTCCAGAAGTTGTGAATGCTCCAACACTGGAAGTGTTTAAGAAGACAGCCATTTGTCTGAAATAGTATAGGGCAGGGGTTCCCCGGAGGAGCCCCCCAGCAGGAGGGTCTCCAGCAGATACAGGGACGCCCAGCGGAGCCCCCCAGCGTTCCTGCGCTTTTTTCCTATTCGAAGGACTCCGGGAAGGGAGGCTTGGTGGGGAAGACGTCAGGGCCTTTAAAAGCCCGACCTTACTCAGCCCCGGATAGGGAAGATTAGAATTGCGTTACGCAGCGGTTAAACTGCGAAAAGCGAAAGTGGATCGCATGGGAAAAGCGCTTCCCAGAAATCAGTTGTGTGGCGGAAGAAGAAAATCGCCGGGCTGCCAAA